GCTCAGTTCTGTTGACAGGGTGGGGCAACCCCTTGAAAGGGGAAACACTTTACATACATATATGTATATATCTCTCTATATATGTATCTCTCTCTGGCCAATGGTGGTTTGGCCACCTCCTGGCTCCATCATTGCACCTGGTGGTGATTAAATTGCTCCTTCTACTCACCAGGATTAGTCACACTGTGCCACTTCAGACAAGAACAAAAAAAAACCTACTTCTCTTCTATACAGTGTAACTTCTATTTGCCTGAATATCTTGCACCAAATCATTAAGGTTTACTTGTATTCACTGCTCAATTCCAGTTCAGAAACCACTTTTCTCATAAATTGCAAATGTTCTCTATTCAAATCCTTCAGCGACATGTGACATCTGCATAATATGTTCTTAGCAGTTGTCATGAATTGTTTCTTTCATATCTTTCTCTCTGTTTAACCTTCACTCAACATCTCTATAAGGTCAGTCATCCCTGTTGTTGACCATATTGTCTCTTTTTCCCCTCTTTCCTTTGCAAACCTTGTTCAGGTGAAATGTATTTCTTAGCCACGGGAGTCGCGAGTGCCACAGCCAGAGCGGGAGTCATCTATAAGATAGTGGATCCTTCCAGGTACCAAACATCTGCACAGCATCACTTGATGATTGTTCAAGTAGAAATGACTTTCTTCCTAAAAGAGCAACAGTAACACTCCCCAACAAATGTTTTTATGTTTTATAATACAACCTCAACTGAAAGTCCGTTTTTTTCTGTAGAAACTGCTGCTTCTTTGGTAACACATTATTTAGTAAGCTTAAATCAAAATGATTAATATCAGGGATTAAATGTCCTGGTGCATGCTAAGTAATCCAGGTAGAAAAATCAAACAAAGTTAAATCAGGTCCTCTGGACAGATTCTTCTTTGTTGAAACGTTTCAGAAGAATCTGTCCAGAGGACCTGACTTAACTTTGTTAGATCAGGGATTAAAGTTACCTTTGCAGCACCAGTTTGACCTGTATTGCCTGTAAATTGCATTAAAGTTTGTTTGGACCTGCAGATGTTAGTTACTGGATGTGCATTTTGTTTTCTTGTCTTCTCACCACACAGACGAGCACCACCAGGAAAATGCAGCATCAAGCCTCATCCTGTTAGGGTTAAAGGCAAACTCATTCATTTCCACCCCAAAGAAGGTAAGAAAAACACTTACTATTGCTCATCAGACAAAAATAAATAAATAAATAAAAAATACAGCCAATGTTGCATTTTGAACTTATTCATAAGGTTAATTGGATTAACACTGCTTGTTAAGTTTAATACTTTTCTTAATTTATTCTGTCTCATTCTGATGGTTAAACAACGCAGACACTGAGTGTGTACTGATAGATAAAAACTCAGTTAAAGCCCGATTCTTCTGAAGAGTGCAAACTTCAAGATTAAGAGGTGTTTTTGTGCTCTATCATTCTGAAATGTAAAATTTAGACACATTTACTCTCTTTCAATCGGTATTTCCAACCCATTGACTTATACTGTATTTGAGCCATAAGTCTAAAATTCTGAGCTAATTTTTATTTATTTTTAATTTTTTTTAACCAGAAAACTGAATAAAAAATGTAAGAAAAACAAACTTAGATCCTTTACTTTGTATGATTTTGCATGCAAGAGGTTTCATCTGCATTTAATCTCTGAGATTTATCTTGTTTTCCTCTTAAAACAATATTTTGGAGGAAAATTGTATGAAATTCCTCTCATTGTGTATAAACGTGTGGATTCTATTAGATTCTATTATGAGCTTCTGTTTTTTCCTATTTGAAGAGTTTGTCATCAACAAGAAACCGACCACAACGCCTGTTCCCACAACAACTGCAAAAACTACACCTAAAGCTCCAACAATAAAAAAACAGACAATAAGAAAAACCATAATAATAAGAAAACCACCAATGCCCACAAGGCCAACGAGAAAACGACCGCCTGCGTCACCGACCAAAGCTGCAAGAAAAACAACGAGCAAGACGACAAGTTCAGCCATTAAAGCGACACTAAAACCAACAGCAGCCACAACCGTAAAACCAACCGCTGTCCAGACGGGAACGGCATATCCCACGACAACTGCATCGACCGGTAGGCCCACGGGTGCACCTGTTTATCACACTAGCTCTACTGACTTCCCAAACTCTGCTCTCAGCACAACCACTAAAGCGTCTGATCGAACTAACACGTGCACGTCGTCACACACCTTTGTCCGAGGAGAGGCCACCAGCATCCACGCTGGCGGCTTGTCTTTCTGCACTCTGCTCTTTCTTCACACTGTAACACTTTAACAGGAACAGGAAGTGTCCTTGTACGATGCTGAAGAAACAACAGCTATGACACCTGCTGCGTTACAGACAACTGGAGTAATAGTTCATGTTTATTTCAGCTGGCTGAAAATCTTTAGATAAAATAATATTAGATCAAGTAGGAATTTGTGTAGTTTAGCATCAGAGTACTGTTGTATATGTGGTTTGTGGACGTTTTGTGTTGACCTTTGCGAGGTTAAGATTTTGGTAAGCCTCATTTTAGCATTTTTTTTTAATAATGAGGACTTTACTGATCAGGAAAAGGGCAAATATTTTGTTTAAAAAATCAAGATTCATGTTAAGTGAAAAGTAATGTGGCTGTCAATTGTTGTTTCCAACTTCCTAGCATGCAATCTTTTGGCTGGTTCAAAAGTGTCCGACTGGACTTTTTTTTTTTTTTTTTTACATTTTAGGTATTTGCACAACTTTAAATTAAAGCAACAATATTTATTTTGAATAAATGTTTCTTCTGCATCAGCTTCAGCTCGGACAATCATTCTTGTGCGTCTGTGTCTATGTCCTTTATTGCTGTCCCATGCACTTAAATTTAATCTTTTTAATTTATCAGTTCAACCATCAGTTAAACTGTTTGGGAAATATGCATATTAATTTTTTGAAATTACAAATGTTGTATTTGTCTGCTCATACAGAAAAACAAGACTCCAGCCATATCAAAAACTGCTGCTTTTTTGGTCAGGAATCTTTGAGATTAGCTGTAACACGTTGTCTGATGTCAAAACTTTATGTGCCAAATTAAAAGTGCATTTGAACACAACCAGATTTGCTTCTTAATTACTTATTTTGTCATACAACACATTGGTTTACAAGACAGTGGTGAGACCAGCTATGTTGTATGGTCTGGAGACAGTGGCATGGACAAAAAGACAGGAGAAAGAACTGGAAGTGGCAGAAATGAAGATGTTGAGGTTCTCCTTAGGCGTGACAAGGCTGGATAAGATTAGGAATGAGATCATCAGAGGTACAGCACAGGTTGAACAACTTGGAGATAAAGTTAGGGAGACCAGACTGAGATGGTTTGGACATGTCCAGAGGAGGGACAGTGGGTATACTGGTAGAAGGATGTTAGAGATGCTGCTGCCAGGAAAAAGACAAAGAGGAGATATATGGATGCAGTTAGAGAGGACATGGAGGTAGTTGGAGTGAGGACAGAGTGAGATGGAGGAGGATGACTCACTGTGGAGACCCCTGAAATGGGAAAAGCTGAAAGAAGCAGTCATGCAACTCATCGACTCCTCTGAGTTCCAAAAGTCTGTGAAAAACTTTCTTTGTTACCAAGTGAACACTTTAGCAATCAGGCTAGCAAACTATTAGCTTGACATTCAAATTCATCACATTTTCGACATTTGTTTAAAACCTGATGTTTGTATTCACTGAGCCAACATTCACACTATGAGAAGAAAATGTCCATAAAACTGACTGCACAGCAAGCAGACTAACTTTGTAACTTGCTTTTCCTCTTGTGTAACTTCTGGTATCACCAGGTCGAGGTAATTCAATGAACTTATTTTAGTAAAGTGGACAGCAGAAAACTGCTAACATTAAATGACTAACATTCTTTAAAGGAAGGCATGCCAGCAGGCAGATAACTTTATACTGGAAATGACAGAGTTTGAGCTATTTTGGTCAAATCTTAAAAATAATGTTGGGCTTTTTAGGCAACATCATTTTGTTATCTTAGACATAGTCAATCTGATTCATTTAATCTTTTTAGCAGGTTAGCTGAAAAGCAAGAGTGACTTTCATATTGTAAAATTTTACCAGTGTAATCTTGTCACAAAACAACTAAGTTTCCCACATTTGAAATTATAATCGCCTCTGGCACAATAAAGGTATAGTCTAGTCTTTTTTAAAGTGATGTTCTGTCAAATATTTCTTGATAGTCGGTACCTTATGAGCTGTGACAGCGCTGGAAGAGGAGACTGAGCTTCCTCCAGGCTTGGCTAATGGCTATGAAAATCTGGTTTGTATAGTTTTTCAGACTTACAAAACAGCTGTCAAAAACAGCACACCGATGTGAAAGAATGCTACATTACCTTATATTAATCTTCTGTATGGTACCAGCTGTTTAGTTTGTTTTTTAGGTTATCATCCCAACAATGTTTGCGCTACTATGTGAACATATACCCCTGTATGTGCTGAGCTTAGACCCCATATGCTGATGGTGTTGGGGCTCTGAATGTATCCATGTGCCAAGAGTTGAGATAACTTTTAGACTGATGAGCAAACTAATCAGTGAAGAGATATTTTCAGGAGCCTACGCACAGTGCTTAATTTGTAAACCAAACAATGCCGGAATGCAAATAGAGGCCAGAAAAGTTTGAATAAAGTAGATGTCATTTCCTGCATTCTGGTGTATGTTAACGGGTTGTTAAATATCTGTGTTTACCTACATTTGTAAACACTTGATTCAATAACTATTTTAGAGAGCAACAATAAGTAACCTGACCAACAGCTCTCCTTGTGTGAATAGAGCATGCTCCGCTTCTCTCAAGCACCCTCGCACCTGCTCCAGTATCTCCATTGCCACTGCTTTCATGTGCTTCAATTCTTGTTTGTTTAGTTGTACAGTGAGAAGCCTTTTTTAAATGAAAGTAATTTGGACTGTCTTTTCGACATTTTGATCGCTGTTATTTTGACAAATTGGTGCTGTTGTTTTGATACGTGTAGCTACATAACGTGATAACCCATCAAATGTTTCTCTCGTATTTTTAATAAATAATCTAAATTTTGTTAATGACCCACTTAAACTGTAAAACTGATTTGCAATTTAATTGTGCAGTTTAATTACATGTTTGTGTTTTTAATTAGATTGCCCATGACTGTACTTTTAGGGGCTGAGATTTTTTAAGGGTAGAAGAGGAAATGTTCACCTGAAGGGGCAGCTCTGATGTGATATTAAGAAGCTCGCAAGTGGCTGTTATGTTTAAAATTCGTGTTTATGTAATTATTTTCAGATTACATGTCCAATATAGGTTTTATTCATTTAAGGCAGTCAAATTTGTTCATAACTTCATTATTAGTAAGCCTGAGAGTTACTGGATCCAAGCAAACAGTTACTGGAACGCACCCTGTCAAAATAGGAGAGTTCTGGGATCCAGATCCGGCAGGATCCGACTCAGATTTAGCCCTGCCTGTAACCATCAGAGTATGCAGTCTATGCTTGTACTGTGCATGTGCTTAGCACATGTGCAGTCACATTGTAACATGGACATAGTTAGGTTGAGAAAACAGTGACAGCCCAAACAGTGTTGTGCAAAAGTGTGGAGGTTTAATTCAGTTAATGCAGTGTTTTTTACACTAATATGCTGTTTTTGAGAAATAGTTTTATAAACCTGAAAAACAATGTAAAAACAAGCCCCTTATTTGGGTAGCTATTAGCCTAGCCTGGACTAAGTCTTCTTCCCTTGTTGCCAAACACCGTGTTCTACAATAATGTGATAACTATTGATAACTATTTCACAGAACATCACTTCAAAAATGTCTTGTCATTTAAGGATAAATTATATTCATGTAAAGAGGGTGATTCTGTCTCTCCCTCAGGTTACCGTGCTACCGTCATGACTGCAGCTAGGATCTCTCAGACCTCAATCATCACCACACCTCAAACAAAGAAAAACAGTAGACCACTTCAGTACTTCACTGGTGCAACCACCCTACCTTTAAACATCCCACAGCCTCCTCCTCCAACTCCAACCACGTCTCTGAAACGGTCTCAGACTGCTGTGGTTTCTCGATCCCACCATAAATATCCTGTAGTGTTGACCACAACATGGGCTCCATATTTTAGCCAGAAGCCCCAGAAAACACCAGCCAGCACCACAGATCCCAGAGCACGGGAAGACAAACTGTCGCCTGGAAAAAGCCTGGAAAGTGCTGGAGAGGGCAACCAAGTAAAAACGAGACCCAGAGGTAGGGGTCGTGGTTCCAGAAGAGGAGGGAAAAGACTGCCAGCTGGTTCAGTGCGACTTGTAAGCGCTGACGGTTTGTTGGATCGAGGAAGGGTGGAGATCTTCATCCGAGGGGAGTGGGGAACGGTGTGCGATGACCTTTTCACCAGCAAAGCGGGTTTGGTTGTGTGTCGACAGCTTGGCTTCACGACTGCACTCGCTGTGATGAAGAGGGCTGTGCTGGGAGCGGCTGACAGCAGAGTCAAGATCCTGCTGGACGATGTGGAGTGTGAGGGTGGAGAAAGATCTCTGCTGGACTGCAAGAGGTCAAAGGTGGGGAAACACAACTGTTCACACGAAGAAGATGTTGGGGTGATTTGTAGTTAACACAAATGAAAAGAACAGATCAAGACTGTACTGAATGAATTTTGATGATTTGTGGGACTCTTTGTGTTTGTCTGTCTTAAATGCAGAATTGTCTTTTTTGTTCCTCCCCTAATTTCTTAGAATTTTTGTTTCTATCAATTCAGTATTACCAGTACTTATATTAATCTATAGAAGCATCAAAATGTAAATAATAATTATTTAATGTTACAAGGAGCAGAATTTGGAGACTTTGTCCACCAAATGCTCCTTTCTAACCCCTGTGTAAGGATGGACCAGATTGTATTTACATTTTGGACTGTTTTTGATAAAAGCTGCTATAGTGTATTTATGTCAAAACTAAAACACTCGTGAAGGCAAAAACTTGTATTTTTGAGTTGTAACATTTCATCAGATGCATTTTTTTAATGATAAAAAACAATCATTTTAAACTCTTTGAATGTAGCCTTAAGTTGATATTTTACCTAAAAATGCTGGACATTTTGCACAATGAATTACATAAAATTGTTCCCATTCAATAATTAATTTACATTAGATCTTCTGCAGTGGGATCTTGTCAAACTATTATGAAAAACTAATTTTTCACCTGTTTCGATACTTGGTTTAGCAATATCAATTTGGAAAAATTGAGTTTATATCTGACCAAACTAATGAGCTAACAACTAATCGGAGTGGGGTCAAGACCAAAGTGGATTACCGGTACATCCGATTCAAAGCAACTCCAATCTTTAAAATTTCAACAACCCACGTTCATTTTAGCTCTGATTACTAGCAGTTAGCTCAACATTTTGGTCAGAATTAAACCATGTTTATCCAATCTGAGCTTTCCACAATAAGTAAAATACTTATCATTCATAAAATTTTACAAAATCCCACTTAAAAGAGTACTGTTTGAAGAGTAGTGAGGGTGCAGGATGCCTCTGATATGAATAAAGTTTTTTTTTTAAACAAAGTGTTTTAATTGATTGATTTTTTTTTTGTTTGTTTTTAAACATACACCAAGAACATAGAACACCCCCACCCCCACCCCTTCCCTCCCACACGAGATCAGTCAAACATACACAGACAAATTAAACAGGTATTGACATGCTTTCCACATACAATACAAAAGGCTGCCACCTGTCCCAAAATCTTTTGACAAACCCCCTCAGGCTATATCTTGTTTTTTCCAAATGAATATGATACTTCACCTCCCTTACCCAATGTACAAATGCTGGCGTGTGTGGGTCCTTCCAATTGCACTAAATTAGCCTCCTGGCCAGAAGAGAACCGAAGGCAATCACATCCTTCTCACATTTGCTGAAGGATGCATCCCCAGGGAACACCCTGAACAGTGCGATGAGTAGTGATGGGTGTACAGTTTTACCACATATTCCAGAGAAGGTGTCAAATATACATTGCCAAAAAGTCTGCAGTTTTGGACAGTTCCAGAATGTATGCAAGAGTGTAGCTGGAGTTTGTTTGCAACGACTGCATGTGGAGTCCAGGTCGGCTTTGATCTTGGACAACTTGTCTTTGGACCAGTGCAGCCTGTGTACTACCTTGAATTAAATTACAGCATGTCTCAGACAGATTAAAGATGAGTAAATGTTTCTAATAATCCTTTTCCATATTAAGTCTGATATGGGTTCCTCCATTTCAGTTTAAGTGAGTCCAGACTGGACTCATGGTATGATCTGAGCAGTGTATACATTTTGCTGAGGGTCCCTTTGGTATCAAACCTGAACTCCAAAATCTTAGTCACAAAATGTTTAGAGGAGTACAAAGGAAAACAGTCCGAATTAGATCTCACAAAATGTCTCAGATGCAGATATCTACAGTAAAAAATAGTGACTTATAAATATTAAACTTCTGTACCAGCTGTTCAAAAGATGCAAAACTACCATTAACATAGAGATCACACAGTGAATGCACTCCCCTCAAGACCCAGGTGTCATAAGCTGTATCAGCTACTGAGGAAGCAAACATATGATTTTTTGACACAGGTGCCAAAAACAGTAACTCTGTAGAGTTAAATGCCTTTCTGAACTGATTCCAAATCTTAACTGCCTAGACCACAATTTTGTTAGAAGTGTAAGTTGATATTGATTGTTTGAAGGGCAATCGAGAGCAGAGTAATGCAGAAAGAGAGCTGGATCTAATTGAGGCCCTTTCCAAGGCTACCCAACTAGGAGAAGGGGTGTCCTTACCCAACCAGAATAAAAAAGCTCTGATATTAGCTGCCCAATAATAGTGCATAAAGTTAGGAAGCGACGTGCCTCCAAGTCTGCGGGGCATATGCAGGACCCTCCTGGTAATCCGTGGATGCTTTTTATTCCAAATAAAAGCTGATATCTGGCTGTTCAAATTGGTAAAGAAGGATTTAGTAAGAAAGATTGGCATATTCTGAAACAGGTATAAGAATTTAGGTAGGACATTTGTTTCTACAGAGTTTATTCTGTCCCCCAGAGTGTGAGGTAGGGACTGACATCTAGCAATGTCCTGTTTAAGGTTGGCCAAGAGAAGTAGATAACTGGTTTTATAGAGGTCCCTATGGTCTTGAGTTACCCAGATCCCAAGGTACTTACATTTTTTAGAACAAATTTTAAAGAGTATGGTGTCCAAGATTTTCTTTTCTATGGAGGTCACAGGCATCAGTTTGCTCTTTTGAAGGTTAACCTTATAGCCAGATATTTTCCTGAAATTTTTAAGCAAAGTTAAGTAATTCAGGGATGCTGATAAGAGGGTCTGATATACACAAAAGCATACCGTCCGCATACAAAGAGACTTTGTGTTCTGTACCTAGCCGACTTATCCTCTTAATGGTTGAGTTCTTCCGCAAAGTTACCGCCAGTGGTTCTATTGCTAACACAAATTGAAGAGGTGAAAACACCCCTGTCTTGTACCTCGATGCATTTCAAAATAGGAGGATATTTTACAGTTAGTGTGGACTGCCGCCATTGGGGAGATATAAATCAGCCTCATCCATGATATGAATTTGGGACCAAATTTAAATAACTTTAAAGTCTCAAAGAGGTAGTCCCACTTTACCCGGTCAAATGCTTTTGTCCACATCTAATGAAAGAATGACTTCATCACAGGTGTGTACGGGTGGACTAGGAGTATATAGCACATCAAGCAGCCGCCTAACATTGAAGAAAGACTGACGGTTATTTACAAACCTTGTTTGGTCAAGCAAGATGATTGTGGGGACCACCCACCCAAGTTGTGTTGCCAGGACTTGTGCAAGAATTTTAACATCTGTATTTAAAAGCAGCATGGGTCTATATGAGTCACAATTTAGAGGGTCTTTGTCTTTCTTAGGTATCAACGAGATTACAGCTTGAGGCATGCATGGTGGCAATGTCAGCAAGTGCCTCCTCAAGCACAGACCTTAGTGAGAGTAGACTTGAAAATTTATTTTAAAACTCAGATGGAAAACCATCTGGTCCAGGGGATTTCCCATTCTGCATATCGTTGATTGCGGAGTTTATCTCAGCTACAGAGAACTCCCTCTCCAAGTCCTCGACGATATCAGGATTCACTGAAGGAAACTCAAGATCTCCAAAAAAGTTCTCCATATCTGGTAGATTAGATTAGACTCGGTCATATACAATGACTGATAAAATTTATTAAAACATATTTTCATCATTGTTGTGGCATGCAGCTCCCTGTTCAAAGTTTATTGCTGTAATAGTTTTGTTGGCTGACTGTCGTCGCAACTGATGTGCGAGTAAACGCCAGCCTTTTTACCGTGTTCATTGCAACCTTATTTAGATTTAGAAATTAAGTACTCTGTCTGCTAAGTAGACAAAGTATTAAATTCAGTTTGAAGCAACAAACAATTTTTCATTAGATCCTGTGAGAGGAGTGGCTATATTCTCTGTCTAATTGTAGTATCTCATCCGTTATCTGTTTTAACTGCGCCAACCCTTTTTTTTGTTTGCACAGTAGGAAATTGTTTGACCCCTCAGGCAGGCCTTTAATGCCTCCCAGAGAACGGCATTCCTGGTGTTCAGTTAACATTCAATTTCAGATGTAACAAACTTGTTAAAATCTTCCTCGGACAAAAGTAAGGGGTTGAATCTCCAAGAATGAAATACAGATTTTGTGACCAAGATACACAATTTTATAATAAGTGGACTGTGGTCTGAGATGACCATAGCTCCATAATCACATTCCTTCATCAAAGGTAGGATTCGTTAATCAAGAAAAAAAATAATTGATTCGAGAGTATGGACTGGAGAAAAAAATGAGTATGATCTTGAGGTAGGGTTATGGAAAGGCCACACACCAGCCAGGCCATATGATTCAAAGAATGAATTGATTAGCTGAGCAGACTTAGTCAGAGTCGTCTTCCCCATCGAACTACGGTCAAAAGATGAAAGCACACAATTTGTGTCTTTGCCAAGTATAAGATTACGTGTTGACATATTTGGTATATTTGAGAAGAGATTACTAAAAAAAAATGTAGTCATCCCAGTTAGGAGCATACACCGAAACCAAGATCACTGGCAGCATGTAAAACTTTCCCACCACTACAACGTACCGCCCAGCATTATCAGCATGCACACTCGAGGCTGTAAATTGCACCCGTTTACCAACTATAATAGCTATCGCTCTTGATTTGGATTGGAAATTAGACTGAAACATCTGACCAGACCACTTTGACAAATGTTCCACTGTTTGCAGAGCCCACGAGTCTCCTGTTAAAAGGCCATATCAGTATTCAGCTGTTTTAGGTGTGACATAATTTTTCAGAATTTTACTGGACTATTAAGGGATTTCACATTCCAGCGTACACATTTACCTGGGGAGCCACTAGAGTGAAACACATTCTTATCGTTCATAACTGAACCAAAAAATAAATTACATACAGAGCATCACAAGCCAATACCTGGTAACAAAAAAAAAAGACTGATCTGGTGTGAGCCCACCCATCTCTCCTACCTGAACACAGAAA